AGATCGAGAACCGCCTACACACTCAATGAGCCCGCGGGTCGGCGGCGGGCGGTGAACCGCAATCCGGCGGGCGGCAGCGAGAGCGCTTGTGCGTGAAGAGGAGCGCCTCGGCCTGCGACTCGTCCTCGTCGCTGTCCGAGGTGGTGAGCTCGCCCACCATCCCCCAGATGGGAAGGTCGTCGAGGTACCACTGGTACCAGTAGTGATTGTGAATCGCAAAGCTGAGCTGAGCCGCGCTCTCCTCGTCCAGCTCCATGGAGCAGACCTTGGTGTGGTCGGGCACCGGCTCGCGAAAGCGCAGCTCGAAGCCGCTCGCGATGAGGTCGTTCCCCTCCAGCACCTCACCGAGCCAGTCGTACCGGTGCTCCAGCTTCTCGACTGGAAAGCTGCTGCAAAAAGGGAGCGAGTAGAACGTGTACGTCTCCTGCGGGTTGTGGTAAGGCCCCACCTTGTTGACCCACAGATGGGTGGCCTCGCTCGTTTGGTAAAGGTGGGTATACTCATCCGCCCGAGCTAAGCAGACGAACGCAAGCGTGACGAGTCTCGTCGTCATGCCCGGCGCCGAGCTGGCCAGGGGGGGGGGGCAAAAGCAAAAAGAATTCCTGAGGGGGTGATCTGTGATCTGTGAGGGTCCGCCCGCAGGCGCATTTTGTACACCGAGGCGGTGCCCGGTGCCGAACCTGTCGGACCTTAAGACAGCGTTGTAGATCCCTGGGCGAGGGTGGTGGAGAGGGCGGTCCGGCGGCGAGGCGGGTGACGAGGTAAGCGTCCTGTACTGGCTCAAGAAGGGGCATGAGATACTCCCGTTTTGTGTGCGACTGCCACGGGGATGGCCGGTGCCAATTCAAGAAATCGCGCAGGGGCCACCCCCATCGCAGGCGCGGAAGGAGAGCGACCGCCCCCTCCCAATCCCACTCTGTCTCAGCCCAAAATCCCGCACTTCAGATTCCGACCGGCTGGACTCTGTCGACTACCTTCGCGCCCGAACTTCGCATGGGGTGCGCATTCATCCCACTCCTGTCCCCGCCATCCCCGCCATCCCCACCATCCCCGCCATGCCCGCCATGCCCGCCACCCCCGCCACCCCCGCAGCCCCCGCCATCCATCCATGCTCCCAGGAAGCCAATGGTGGCGCCCGCACCATCAACGCGCGGGCGCAGAGGCTCTGGACAGTGGCTCTCCAACGGGACGAAGGCAGTCTAAAGTCCCTCTTCCCAAGTTCTCTCTACACCCCCCCTTAATAACCCATTTTCCTCCTACAGGTCGGGGCGGTCAAGATCGTAAACATGAACATGAACGAACTCTATGCGATGACGCAAATGACCACGGCGGTTCCAATGACCTCCACCTCCCTTCCGATGGTCGAGGAGGCCGCCGAGATGTCGTGACGGCCAAGAAGGCAACACGGCGCGGGGAATGTGGTGAGGAGAAGGCCTCTCACTCCGGCACCCGCATATTTTTCGGGGACCCGGGCTTTCGCTGCGCGGGCGCGGGCGGGCGGGCGCGGGCGGGCGGGCGGGCGGCAGCCCAGCCCAGCATTTTTTAGTTTTTGGCCATCTTGGGGACTAGCGGAGAGAGAGAGATCAGTCGACGCACTAGATGAGAGAGCTCCTTCCGGGTTTGTGTGTACATTTGCCTCCATTAGCTCCGTCTACGTGTTCCACTCCTCATTCCTCAAAGCCGTACCAAGAGAGAATCTCGAGACCAGAATGGTTGGTGTTGGGTAGTAGGGGTAGAGGTCTCAGATGCTGGGCGGTGGAGCCGTCCGATCGGAGCCAGAAGACCTCCCCAGCGGGTATCCGATTTGCTGTTTGGTAGAGAGAGCGCTCCGACCCTCGCTCTACGCTCGCAACTCAACCTCCACCGGCCTACCGGCCTCCCGCCCTGTGGTCGCCCGCCCCCTCGTCTATTTCCGCCGTGCGGGCGGCACAGAGAGAGACGCATAACGATATCGGCTGATATCAGAGGACATTTCACAAGATTGGATCACTGTGCCTCTGTCGACATATGTGGTAAGACAAGGCACAAACATGATATCACGTCGGAGCACGGAGGGAGGCGGCGGCGGCGGCAGCTGCGGGTGGCGCGCTCAAAAGCACCGCTGCGAATAGGACGATGCGTTCGAGAGCTCCCAAACATTGCCGAACCAGCCAGCCGCCAGCAAGCCGCCGTGTCCCTCTGCGGCGAAGCGTGGGCCGGTCACGGCGTAGTCAGGCACCAATGGTGAAGGGCGAGCGCACCTGTGGGAGGGGGCGCGGTCCGTGAGTGCTGCGGTGCCTCGCGTGTCTATTCGCGAAGCCGCCCCGCGCTGCATGCGTCGCGCGTGGGCCTGCCGCCCGTGCTAGGCCGTGTGCGCGACTGGACGGAGCGCGCCATCGGCGGGATGGTGGGCTCTCCAAGCGCGATGGCGTCGCGCAAGCCGCGCAAGTCCGAGCCATCCACGACGAGCGCCAGCCCGCCGCCTGGCGTCGGCCCGAGTAGGACGGCGCCGACCGAAGCTCCGCCGTACTCACACGCGCCCAGCCGCAGCGCCCCCCCCTCGCTCCACGACGCAGCGTGCCCGACCCGCCGCCAGAACGCCGCCAGCCTCCTCGTCGCCGCGTTGTGCCGCGGCCCGCCGATCAGAACCAGATTCGGAAGATGAGCCCCGCCCGCCACCCCGCTCTCCACCCTGCCCGCAGCCGCGTCCGCCGCCGCGCCCGCAACTGCGCCCGCATCCGCGCCCGCATCCGCGCCCGCATCCGCGCCCGCAGCCCCGTCCGCGTCCTCGAGCGCATCCGCGAGCGCAGCCGCGAGGGCGTGCTCGACGTCCGTGTCGAGCACCACCGCCGGTGACGCGTCACTCGTCTGCACATGCAGGTTGGCAAAGAAGACTGCCAGCTCGAGTAGCGAGGCCGCAGTCACGCCGCTGCCGTCCCTGTCGTCGCTCGCGCCGCCTCCGCCGCCGCCCCGCCCTCTTTCCCCCTCCGCGCCCGCCCCGCTCTGAGATCCGGCGACCACCGCAAACGGCGCCTGCATCGCTTGTCGAGCGGGACCCGCCGACACCAGCGATCGCTCGGCCACTTGCCAGCTCTGCGCGCCGCACACGCGCCACTTCTCGCCGGGCGAGAGCGAGCACAACTCCACGCGCCCCTCCTCCTCCCCCACCTCCTCCCCCTCGGCTGCGTCGGCCGCGCATGCTACCTCCTCGCCGTCGATCCACAAGCCGCCTCCAGAGCACGTCGCTGCGCCGCCAGCTGCTGCTGCTGCGGCGGCGTCGGCGCAACTGCCCTGTGCGGCCGTAGCAGCCGTTCTGCAGCGCAAAACCGCGCCTGGCACCTCAAGCCTCCTCATGTTGCGTGTCGTCACGATCACACGCGGAGCGCCGTCGACTCTGCCGCTGCCGCTACTGCCGCCGCTACCGCCATCCTCGCCGCCGCAGCGGCCACCACTGCTCTCCTCGCTGACGACGCGCAATTCGGAGAGGCGAGCCGGCACGCGCTGCTGCACGATGCGCCAGCCGCGCCGGCCGGAGTAGGAGGCGGGGCTGTGCGCGCGGAGCACGAAGCTTCGCGGGAGCGGCGGTAGCGGCGGCCGCCCCGTCGCTCGCTCGCCGCCCCGCACGCGCGCAAAGAAGTTGCGCATCTCGGCATCGTTGAGCGCACCGCCGTCGTTTGGTGCGCGAGTGTCCCACCACCAGTGCTGCAGCCCCTTGAGCTCGGTGAGATGCACGTCGGGCGGCGCGGCGGCTGCGGCGGCCGCGCCGCGAGCAACACGAAGCATTCGACGCGACCACCAAGGATGCACGGCCTGTTCACAGCCGGCAGCGTGTGAAGCGACGCGGCGGTGCCCGCAGCTGGCGCGACGGCCCCGGGTGGACGCCGTGTCGTCCGAGCCGACGCGGATGAGGTGCGGCACGCCGAGCAGGTTGGGTGCCTGCGGGAATGCACGGCTCAAGTACGGCCGAATACAGCTGAGTACGCGTCCTCTCGAGCGCTAGTCGGAATACAAAAGCACGTCTTCCGCTTCTAGGGTTAAGTGCGTGCAGCTCGACGTCATTCTCTGCGATGGCAGCCTCGAGCAGACCCTTGAGCGCCGGCTCAACGTGTGAGGCGCCCACGTCGGAGGAGGACTGCCGCCACAGAAAGTTCGAGTCGCCGTACCCCTCCTTGGTCGTCCAGCCCGCCACCGCTGCCACGCCAAGCGCGTGCGCGGACCCTTGCACCGCACCCACCCACGCGCCGTGAGCACCCATCGAATGGCCAACGTACAGCACGCGCGCAGCGTCGACCCCCACCGACGACGGCAGCTGCTCGCGCGGAAGCGATGCGACGGCGGCGACAGCGGCCGCCGCCGACAGCCGCCCGCCGAGCTCCCAGTTGTGCGCGCCGTGCCGCGTCGGCGCCACCACCCAGTACCCGTCCACGCCGAACTGGAAGCCGTCCTCCTCTTTGGGCTTCCGCTTGTACGCGTCGGCTGAGTCGCGCACCTTCAATCTCGGGTGATCTCGTGTGATCTCGTGTGATCTCATGTGATCTCATGTGATCTCGTGTGATCTCGTGTGAGCTCGTGTGATCTCGTGTGATCTCATGTGATCTCGCCGCACCCGCAGCCTACAGTGTGAAGTCGGGGTGCGTGACTACGTGGGTGAGTACGGCCTCGTGCCGTGTCTTCGCAGCACCGCGTCGATACGGCTGCTGATACATTTAGTTGAGTACGTCTCGAGTGCTAGTCGAAACACGAAGATCTGTGGTCCGCTTCTGGGACCCGAGCCGGAGCGGTACCAGCCGAAGCTGCCCGGGAGCAACGTCGAACGTCGCGTCGGGGTCGAGCAGCTCGAGCGCTTCCTCGGCGCCTGTGGGGCGCGAGCAGTGAGAGTGTGTGCATGTACATGTACATGTTGTGCATGCGCATGTTGTTGTGTGCGTGCGCGTGTGTGTGCGTGTGTTCAGCTCGAGCGCTTCCTCGGCGGCGCCTGTGAGGCGAGCGCGCAGCGTGCGCAGCCACATCGAGCCGGTGTTGCGCACCGGCAGGGCGATGATTCCTCCGCACAAGTGGAGTGAGCCTACGTCAGCTGAACAGCTGAATACGGTCGAACACAGTTGAATACGTGTCTTCTCGACCGCTCGGAATACAAGAATCCGTCTTCCGTATCTAAGGGGCGTGATCCGTTGGCCGCTCGCAGCAAATCTGGCAGAGCCTTGGGGGGAGAGATCGACATTCCTCCCTCGGCACTCGCGGAGAGCCGGCACTGCAGCCGCGACTGAACGACTAGCCGCGGCCGCAGCGCGAGCAGATACACGCCCGCCCGCAGCCGCAGCGCCGCCAGGCTGCTCCCTCCGCCGCCATAGACGTCGGCGTTGAGCAGCCGCGGCGGGGCACGCGGGTCCTCCGCCTGCACCATGAAGACACGAAAATCAGGGCGTGAATGCGGTCTCGTGAAGCGTGTTCTCCGAGCATCGCGTGGAGGGGCTGCGAAGACAGAATACAGCTGAAAGGGGAAACGGCTGAATGCAGCTGAACACATTCAAATGCGTATCCTCTCGAGTGCTATGCGGAATGCACGGATCTATGGATCTCTGCTCCGCATCTGGGGTCCGGTGCCGCGTAGAGCAGCGCGCGCCCGACGCCGCGGCAGTCGAGAACAAAGTCGCCGTCGGCCGCCACTGCGAGCGCGCCCACCGCCCACGCCTGCACTTCGAGCACCGCACGCTGGCCGAGCCCCTGCACAAGCCCGCCTAGGAGAGGTCGGAGAGGTCTCGGAAAGGTCCGGGAGGAGCTGCCGGCCAGGCACGAGTCTGCCCCAGGCGACGTCTGGCCAGTGCAGTTGAAGCGATCCCTGCACGGGGCGCGCGGGCGACCACCGCAGCGGCGTGGGCGAGAGCTCCGAGTAGACGCCGCCGCCTAGACGTCACGGCGTCGCGAGTTGCGGCGGTGTCACACGCATCCGCGCCAAGGCTTGGGCAGAGTGCGCCGACGCCGCTCGCGCTCGCATTGTGCCCAGCCAGCCAGTAGGCAAAGGCACCGCCCATGTCCTCGAGCGGGTCACCGTCAACCTCGTTCTTCCCAATCGGAAGCGGCCCGAGCACGTCCCAAGAGGCGGGCGAGGCGGTGCATGGCTTGGTGCCAAATAGTGCCGTGGCGTGCGCGGCGATGGCAGGCTCCTCTGGCAGCAGCGCAGCCGCCCGCGCCCACAGGAGCAATTCGGACCGCCCTGCCAGGCGGGAGAGGAGGCACGAGACTGCCTGCTCTCTCGCACCGGCGAACTGCAATGCGACTGATGAGCGCAGTGGAGAGTGCTTTGCGTCTGCGCACGGCGTTCCGGCGGCCGAGACGCGGCGCACCGCTTCCATGGCGGGTCCGGCCGTGGAGAGAGTATCGGCAGTGGGAATCAGTAGCGAGAGCGAAAGCATGTGTGTTGGTCGTCGTTCGGTCGTCGTTCGGGTCGTCGCGGGAAGCCGGCGTGGCAGCAAGCGAAGCGGGGCGTTTTTCTTGTTTTGCCCCCTACAAGCCCGCCCGTTTTCCCTCTTGTTGCACTCGTGGCCCCATCACTCATCCTGGGTTTCTAAATCAGCATCTTGTGTTAGCTGGGGTCATCAACGTGTTCACGTGTTTAGGCCTTTAGCACAACGATCAAGAATGTTGGTTAATAAAAATCTCTCTCCCAACGATCAACGTGACTCGTGAGTTTAGAAAGTCAAGAGAGATGTTTTCGAGAAAGAAGAAGTCAACTTTACATTTGCGAAAACAAACGAGAGAGGCGGACCGTGCCGTGTGGGGTGCGGCGAGAGCGGTTCTGGTAGAGGCGGACAAACGCCTCGAGGATCCGAGGGGGCGCCCACTGCTCTTTCCGAAAGTGGATGGGGTCTCCAACCTTGAACATGTCGTCGTCGAAAACAAACGGCAGCACAGGGTCAAAGAGGTCGAGCACACCGCAACGAACGTGCTGCTGCTTCTCGCAGGATCTCGCAAACCCGTCGGCAGACGCGAGGTTGCGCAGGCGAATGCGGTAGTTCGACGCCTGGCAGTCGAGTCCAATCGACCGAAACTTGCCCGGCGTCGCGTAGTTTGCCCGTGGGGTCTCGAAGGCGAGTAAGACCCGCGAGTCGACCTCTTGGTGGGACAGGAAGGACTCGAACCCGTGAGCGTAGCGGCGAACCGCCGTCTCGTCACCGCCAAACATATTCTTTGAGTGCGAGCCGAGCGACAAGTACGACAAGGTGCGCTTGCTATGCTGACCCCGCGTGAGGTTTGTCACGGCTGCAAGGAGTGACGCCGGCGGGTCAGGAAGAGTCAATGTAGGGTCAGGCATGTCGAACCACGTCTCGTAGCTGACGCAAAAGCTGATCGCGGCCTGCTCAACGCACGTCAGGGACCAGCGGTTCCCGTTCGGCTTGTTGGGATTCATCAGGCCGGTGTAATCGAGGCGCCTCTCCTTGTTGCCGCCGTCCATGGCGCTGAGAGCAATGTTTGTCAGGTGGTGTCGGAGGCGGCGCAGCACGCTGTCGCCCACGAGTCGAGTCCATACCGGCTGCCACGCCGCACGATGCATTCGGTCCAGCAGTCGGCTGCTGTCGAGCGGTGGTGGTTGGCTGAAGCGTGAGAGGCGCAACCTCGCGACTGCCCGCGCGATCTCGGTCTCAGTCCGGCCACGACCCTCCCTACTCGCAGGCTGCAGCTCGGCAAACGGCCCGGCTCGTTCGGCTAATGGGTTGTGGCGAATGGGCCTCTGGGCGCGATCAGCTGCCCTCGGAGGGAGCCCGAGGGAGATGCAACCAGGTGGTAGCAGCGGCTGTGCACGAGCGGCGACGAGTGAGAGCCGACGGCACCCAGTGCGGCTTGTCACGTTGACTGAGCTCCAGAGATCATCCGTGTGCACGTTGAAGGTTTCCAACCGAGCGCACAGCCGGAGGGACGCATTTAAGGAGGAGGTGGACGAGACACCCTGCTGCCTCTCCCATTCGCGAAGGGTTGGCTCGTCAATCGAGCCCTCGATGGGCCCGCGATCGGCGCTTGGGCATCCAATCAGAAGCTGCGCAGCCAGCGGCGTGCCAGTTGCGCTGGTCAACGCGACGTGGAAGCTGCTGGTGGCGTGCTTGTCTTCACACAGGCCCATCACTTGATGATTGCCAGTGGGCACGATGCGGAAGCTAACACCACCGCGGTGCCGGGAGCCGTTCACGAGCGTCAGGCTGTAGACCCGCGCAGCCTCGGTCTCCACCGAATCTTGCGCCTGTCTTCGGCGCAGCTCATCCTCGAGCACTTTGACGCGGGCCTTTGAGTGGAGCAGCCGGATCTCTAGCGCTCGCGCCCGTGCTGCAGCGGTTCCAATCTCCAGCATGCCGGATCCCCGCGTGAAAACGCCGCCAGTGGTACGCAACGAGGCGCTAACCACATCGCGACCAGACATTGCCGTCGGTCGGTTATGGGCTGCGTTGGCCGGCTCGCTGCACGACGGGCGCTCGAACGCCTCTCGGGGTTTTTGTCTGGCCGAGTCAACCCGAGAGCCTCGGCGAGACTGCGTCAGCTGTTCCCACAGCAGGCTGGAAGTACCTCGCCAGGGCTACTGGGGCGGCCAATTCACACCTCGCGGGACTACTTATGTTTTCGTAAACGTAGTTGTGGCCCCCCGCTACGTCGCACGAGTGCAACCGGGTAGCGGGGGGCTACAAGAAAAGGGGACCAACCCGTACCTGGGCTCCGGCTCCTAGCCAGATAGGGGGTCTGCCCCCACTGAGTCGCGCCAAAACGCCCTACCTACCGTCGGGTACTTATTTTAAGACGAGGTAAACAGCAATAGATCCGGGTGCAGTGCCGGATCAGTTCCTGGAGCCAGGGGGACCGATTCGCGCTTGCCAAGGGACCAATTGCTGGAAGCCCGCGCAGCCTGCGCTCCGGCCGGCAGAGGGCTTGCGACCCGTGGCAGGGTGACAGCCCGCCGGTGGGCGAGCCAAACTCTGGCGGAGGCAGCCCGCTCAGCCCCAGGCGCCCCTCGAACCGGAGGGTGGTCTGCCGCCGCTGCGCGTTGGGCGCGCCGAGGGCGGGAGACATCAGCTTCGCGCCACAGGTGACCTGGGGGACCGATTCTCGGCAAGTTGGCAGGACGGGCACTGTGAAGGATCGATTGCTGTACAACGAGGGACCAATTCCGTGAGGGCTGGGTATCGATTAGGCCGCTTGAGGGCCGGATCTATTGCTGTTTACCTCGTCTTAAAATAAGTACCCGACGGTATCTGCCTATCCCCAGGCCGGGCGCGGCGCGCAGCGAGAAAAAAGACGAAAATAGGGGCTACCTACCTATTGCGGGGCCCTCTGGGGCGGTCAAAACCGGACCTACCTACCTATTGCACAGGGTCTAACCATCGCAGACCCCCTATCTTAAGGCGCCGGAACCCGGGGCCCACATGGCGACAACCGGGCCCTGCCGCGTCTCCTCGCTCGGCCTCGACGTACTAGCGACATCCTCGGCATCTGTGCTCGTCTCGCTGCGCACCACCAACGGCTCGCGGCAGTGCGGGCTGCTGCTCTCTGAGCCGCGGCCATTCGAGCTGCTGATGCACCGCAAGACGCAGGGCCGTTGGCAGGCGCTGGTTTCGGGCCTGCTGCCGCGGGAGCTGCCTGGGGTACGCTGCCGCGACGAGCATGGCTGCATCTTTCGCGCGTGTCTGAGGGATGACGGCTCGGGCGGCGCGGACCAGCAGTGCACGCAGCCTTCGGCACTCGTGCGCACGCCTGCGCCTCTCCTTCCCTCGCCCGAGCCGCACCTGGCGGCGAGGCTCGAGCTGCTCGTGTCGCCACCGCTGTCGCCGCCGATCGGAGGCGTGGCTCGCGCCTGGGCCCGCGAGCTCACCGCCGGCCTCGCGTTTCGTGACTTTTTGCTGCAGGAGGTGGAGGTGTGCGGCGGCGGCGGCCCGCCCGCCCGCCTCTCTCACACGCCCGCCCACGCTCTCCGCCGCTCCCCGCGCCCTCGAGGTGTCCTCCACCGGCGCCCTCGTCCTCGTCGACCTCGTGCCCAGACGCGTGCCGCAGCACTTTTCGCCGCTGCTCACCTCGACGGCTCCGCTCGAGGGGGCGCTCATCGCCATCGCGAGGCGCGTGCACTCGGCGAGCGGACTGGGTGGGCCGCGTCGGTGTCGAGGACGGGCCGTGCGCAGGCGACGCACCAGCACTCGCGCGGCGGTGCGAGTAGGCGCCATGGGCCACCTCGTGGACAGCAAGGCGGGCGCCTGGCGGCAGGCGGCCACGCCGACCGCCCTGTCGACGCAGCTCGCGACCTACCTCTCGCTGCCGGCGGCGCGGCTGGACGCGACGCCCGCGGGCGCCGCCGGGACCCTCCCTGCCGCGCGCGGCGGCGGGCGGGTGTGCGGGCCGGCGAGCTGCCCGGTGCCGTATGTCGTGGTGCCGCTCGCCGCGCTGCTCGCGCTCGCCGGCTTCGCCTCGCGGAGGAGGCTCCTCGGGCTCGGGCGCGCCGGGCTGAGCAAGCTGCGTAGCCACCGGAGGCTGCACGAGCTGACGGGCGCCGCGGGTGGCCGCTGGGACGACCTCGACGTCATATCGCAAGTGAGCTATAACCTGGATGTGTACTGATTGCAAAATTTCTTTTTCGCTTCACTAAGGGAGGCATGTCCGGAAATTCTTTTCCTCCCGGTCGCTGGGCGCGCCGCCCTGCTCTTTGCTCGTCCATGCTAGTGTCTCTGTGCGTCCTCGCTGCTGCCCAAAACAATCAGCACGACGCGACGGCAGAAGCGATGCACGAATGGTGGTGCACTCACCCTGGCCGGAGCGAGACGGCGCCGTGCCTGCACCACAGTTTTGTGCAGCAGCACAAGGCGGTGTGCGGCGAGGGAGAGCGGTCGTCTGACTGCCTGCGCCTCGAGGAGGAGCACGAGATGTACATGCGAGAGAGGCAGGACCTGGCGAGCGACCAGGCTCAGTCCCGCGAGATGCATGATGCGTGGTGTGCGAGGCCCGAGAACGACGGCACCGACTTTTGCGAGGGATGGAGAGAGTGGAAGGTGGGCCAGGAGCTGATTACCGCCAGAGGAGGTGATGCTGAGGACAACAGCGCCACCGGGGGCGGCCACCCTGGGGCGGAGCGGCTCGCGACGGCAGAAGCGATGCACGAATGGTGGTGCACTCACCCTGGCCGGAGCGAGACGGCGCCGTGCCTGCACCACAGTTTTGTGCAGCAGCACAAGGCGGTGTGCGGCGAGGGAGAGCGGTCGTCTGACTGCCTGCGCCTCGAGGAGGAGCACGAGATGTACATGCGAGAGAGGCAGGACCTGGCGAGCGACCAGGCTCAGTCCCGCGAGATGCATGATGCGTGGTGTGCGAGGCCCGAGAACGACGGCACCGACTTTTGCGAGGGATGGAGAGAGTGGAAGGTGGGCCAGGGCCGAGGTGACAGAGATGAGCTTTGATCGCGAGACGTGTGTGTCCGCCGCGCCCGAACCCGCGTCTGTTCGTCTCGCTGTTACTCTAGCCAGCCGCGTTCGCGCCCAGGTGGGGGGGGTCGTCGTTTCGTGCGCGCGGGCCGCGGCCCGGTTTGTCTCGCGGTACACAGCCAAAAATACCTCACGCCTCACATTCACTCCATTCGGTCAGCGACGACGCGCACGAGCGAATCGTCTGCACTAGTGCCGGCTCAGGGCAGTCCGTGGCCGCCGCGGCGGCGGCCGCCGCCAACCGTTCCCGAAGCACATCGCACGTGCTTTCGGACCCTTGCCGCTCGCCGGGGCGGCAAGCAAGGAGGATCACGTTCTGCTCGTGCCCCGCGACTCGCAACACGTAGACGCGGCCGACTGCGGCGCGCAGCTTGGCTGCGAAGCGCGCGCACTCGGCTCGCGCTCTGTCCGATCCGTTCCACAAGTTGGCGAGAGCGAAGCCGCCGGGCCGTAGGACGCGGGAGAGGCCCTCGAGGAACGGCTCGCGCTGCAGGTGGGCCGGGACGTCGCCGCGCCCATCGTAAGCGTCGAGCAACGCAAGGTCAAAGGCAGCACGCCCCCAAGCGTCCGCCTCTGCGGCGTCCGCCTCGCAGACGCAGAGAGGGCGAGGACCTGTGCTCGGTACGAGTATGAACACTCACTCCTCAGCATCGACGAGCATCGCGGAGGGGGGGGGGGGGGGGTCGCCGTTGCGGTGGCGAGGCGGCGGGTCGAACCCTGCACCTCCGGCGCGGCGCGAGAGCCGCTCGAAGCGGACGCCGTGTGCACTGGCCGCGGCGGCGAGGACAGCGGCGTCGTACTCGAACGCCGTCACGGCGCAGCCGAGTGCGTGCAGCGCCGCGGCACAGCTGCCCGCGCCGAGGCCGACGACGAGGGCGTGAGGCGGCGGCGGCGGCGAGGCGCCGAAGCGAGCGGTGAGCGCGGCGGCGGCGGCCACCTGGCCAGGGTGGCGGAGGGAGTTGGCAGTCGCGTGGGCGGTGGCGGGGGAGAGGCAAGGAGGAGAGGGAGAAGGCGCGCCATGGTGCGCTGGTAGTCGAAGCCGACGGCGAGAGGGACGAGGGCGGGAGGGCTCTCCCCCCGCCCCTCCTCCGTCCCCTCTTGCCGCTCGTGGAACGTCATGCCCTGCTCGACACGCCCCACCCAAAGGACGCGCCACGGCCCGTGCTCGACGACGCGGACCTGCGCCCGGCCGAGGGGGAGGGGGGGGGAGGGGAAGAGGGGGAGGGGAGGGGCGGGTCCTCAAGACGCGACGCGGACATGCTCTGCGGCGGCGGCACGCCCCGCGCGCACCGTGGCTTTCGGCTCGGCTGCGCTCGGCGCCTCAAAGACGACTCGGGGGGGCGCCCGCCGCAACTGTCCGCGTACACGCCGCGAGGCGGTGAGGGCTTGGAGAAGGGCCGGAGGCACGCTGAGGCGGTGGAGAGGGGTGGATGGGCGCCCCTTGCCATTAAACCCGCCCCACGGAAGGGGAGAGGCGGACTTTGGTAAAGGGGCGGTGTGCTCTGCCCCTCCGAACTATGGGGGCCAGCCGGCGAGTCGAGGCTGCCCGCAATGGGCGGAGGGAGCTTGGGCGGCGCGACTCGGGCCCCTCCCCTCTCCCCCTCTCCCCCTCTGCAGACGCCTGCGCATAGTACCCGTCCTCGGCGCGGAGGTTCAGCTGGGCGGCGTACCACGGCGGCAGGCGAGCCTGCGACGCGGAGAGGCGGGCGGAGAGGTGGGCGGAGCGGTGGGCGGAGCGGTGGGCGGAGCGGTGAGGTGGGCGGAGAGGCGGGGCGGGCAGGGCAGTGCAGGCGCGGAGGGGGCAGCGCACGCCTCTGGCAGCTCCGGCAGGTGGCGGTACGAGACGAGCAGCTCGTCTGCTCACGGCGGGGTGGGCGGGGTGGGCGGAGGCGGCGGCGGGAGGGCGCGGGTGCCGGCGACGACCTCACCGCCCACCGCCACGCAGCGTCCCGGCAGCACCCGCACGCACGCCACCGCCCCCGCGACCGGGTGTGAGTACGGCTCGAGGGCGCAGTTTGCCCTCCAGCCAGCGTGGTTGGCGAGCCAGCCGAGGCCCGAGCGCGGGACGGCGCCCGGAGAGGCGGGCGAGGAGGCGGCGCCCCCCTCCCCAACCCACTCCGGGTGCAGCCACCCCTCCCCGTCCTCGAGCCAGACGGCCCAGTCCGCAGCCTCCTCTCCCGCAGGCTCGCAGCCGCACCCCTCGCGCCGCACGCCGGCGAGGAAGGCGGCAACTTCACCCCCGCGCAGGCACGCCCTCGCGAAGAGGCCCAGGCCGCCGCCCACCACGCCCGACGGCCCGCCCTCCACGCGCGACGCTTCGAAGGCATCGGTCGCCGCGACTTGAACCTCGCTCCCGCCGCTCCCGCCGCCGCCGCCGCCGCCGCCGCCGCCGCCGCCGCCGCCGCCGCCGCTCCCACCGCCGCCGGCGGCGGCGCCGGCGGCGCGCGGGTACGGCCTGGGCAGCAGGCGCATGCACACGTCGGCTCCGGGCGGCGGCGGCGCGCCACCCGTCCGAGCGGTGGCCGCCGCGGCGAGCAGCGACGGGAGGGCGGGGTGCACGGCTGCGGCTGGGAGCTCGCCGAGGTCCGGAGGCGGCTGAGGCGGAGGCGAGGCGGCACCTCGCCCGCGTCCTGGCTCGAGGTGCGCCCAGGAGAGCCGGCGCGGCTCGCCCTCGGCCCACTCGCCCACCAGCGCCCCGCCCGAGCGGCACGGGTACAGGTGCGCGCACCGCCGGCCTTGCAGCCGCTCGCCGCGCCAGCAGCCGACGAGGGCGCCGCCGTCGCTGCCAATCTGCACGCCAAAGCCGGCACGCTCGCCGTCGACGCACGAGCCGACAAAGCGCACCTTGGAGGCGTGAACACCGACCGCCTCAGTCGTGCTTCACCGCGGATCCTGGCACCGCCGCGGCGCGGCACACAGTCCCATCAGCGTGTCGCTCGGTGACGGAACCCTGGAGCAGCCCGCCGCTCCACGTGCCGTGCACGGTGCCGCCGCCCGGCTCGGAGAAGACGCCGCGCCCACACGGCTCGTCGTCGCGCCAGCGCACGCGCAGGGAGCTCTCGCAGCCCTCGGCCGCCCCGTCCTCCTCGTCCGAGCTCGCCTCGTCCACGAAGAGCGTGCCCAGCCCGCTCCGCTCGCCGCGCACCATCCGCCCCTCGAAGCGAGCCCGCTTCGAGAGGCGGAGCGTGCCGCGGCCGTGTGGACGGCCTCTGGCGTCGCGGCAGCCGGTCCAGTCGCCCATCCGCGTGGCCTTGCCGTTTCGAGAAGAAAGTCGTTCGAAATGTTCTTGTCTTACCGGCTCGTGCAGCTGTGGAACAGGCCACGCCCATAGGGCGCCGAGCGCGCCAGAAACGACCCCGTATTTCTCGATACTGAGCCCTCCTCTCGACCCGCTCTTGATGTCCATCCGGTCCGCGCCGTCCAGCTGGGCGACGCCGTCGCGTACGAGCCGGCCTCGACGCGCTCGCGGCTGCCGCGGCGGCCTCGGAGGCGCGCTCGGCGAGCGGCCGCGCTCGGCGGTGCTCCTGCTGCTGCCGTGCCGCCGAGCGGCGTCGAGGCTCCAGAGAGGCGATGCCAGTGACCGGCCGCGTCGGAGGCCTCGCTCCGGTCAAGTTCCTCGCGCTCTCTCCACCTCTCTCGCCGCAGTTGCGTAGGCGACAAAATGAGCTCGCTCGCGAAAATCACAAACAGTTGGAGTGGGAAGGGGTGCTGGGCCCGAGCCTGCTTGACACTGCGGACACGGTCCGTCTGCGTCATTCCCCCCAGGCTGATTCGCCGTCTCGTACTTCCTCGCGCTTTTTCTCACCCTTGCCCAGAAGCTTCCCACGCCAAAATGCGGCGCGATGCAGTCCTGCTCGTGGAGGTTTGTGCGTTGCCGAACAGAATCCAGTGCGGTGCAGTGTGGCAGCTTGCGAGGAGCGGTGACGGGTCGTTTGCCCGTGGAGCCAGTTTGCCAAACCGGGAGGGGCAGAGCGCGGGGCCGCTCGCACTGTCACACCTCGCACGTCCCGCCCTGGACACATCACTCGTGGATAGTGCGCAGCCGCCGCCGTGTGCGCCAATTCGTCGAGAGTGCGCAATGACCGGACGCTCGGGAAAGGTTTATGTAAGTACATTTGAAAATGGCCGAGTTCGTCTCAGTTATCGCCTCTCAGTTATATCGTGAGTCTTTGTCTCTGACGTCCGACGACATGTCACATGAAAGTCATGAACATGACAGGCGGCCGGTCTCGGGGTCTGAGACTCGCTGCTGACCGCCGACATTCCGCTCTCTGAGTCGTGAGTGTGCGCCCTGGAGGCCGGCCTCCCGAGTCGCCGGCGCCCAGTACGTCAAGCTCCCAGCTCATAGACTCAGAGAGGGACGTGGTGGGCGCAGAAGCGGGCGAGTGATGTCCGTTGCGAAAGCCCGAGGGCGGCTCGGCAGCCCCGGGTCGGCTGGCGAATAGCCTGCCGTGCCGTCAAAGAGCAGAACGCGTAAGCAGCGGCCGAGATGCGCTGTCCTCGGCCAGCGCGGGTCCTTCGTCGCGGCGTCGCGGTCTCCTGGTCGAGGAGACCGGCGCAAAGGGCGTGGCTCACTCGCGCGGCAGATTAGCGCGAGCTTCGGCCGAGCACAATGCGATTCGCCCCACCACCCATCCGAACGAGATTGAGTTCGGTCCGCGGGCACGTCGAGGGCGAATCACGCCACGCGGCGGTGGCGGCTCGGGCAACATACACACGTCCTCGAAATAGTAGCGCGCCGGAAGACCGAGGCAAAACTCCGCGCGCCCGAGACGACCTGCGCGGCGGGGACGGCTCTCTCGACTCCGCGTGCACGAGTGGGGGCCTCGGAAGCGGCGAGATGCGGCGCCGAGAGAGGAGACATGTGCCGCTCTCGCGCCTGAGCGCCAAGCGCAGGCGTCGCGAGCCGGTGGCGGAGCCGCCGAGCGTCGCGAACGGTCCACCGCTCGCGCACGCGTGCAGCCGGTCCAGGGCGGCTAGGCAGAAAGAAGAATGGCGCGAATTGAGGCCGTACGCGCCCAGCGCGAGCCTTGTTCCAGAGCGGCTGGCTGTCGCACGAGCCGGTGCCAGCCACGCCGAGTTTGTGTTTTCCCGGAAACTTTCGCCGGCGGTGAGTCGACGGTGCGGCTTGAGCTGGTGTGCCGCCGCGCGAGCGACGCTTCCCGGTTCCCAAGAACAGGTACTACGCTGATCTTAGCCAGAGCTCCAACAAAACCAATGGTTGCGCTGCTCGTCGCCACGCTCGGTGTCGCGCCTGCTGGCGTCGCCCGCCGCGCCCTCGGTGGCAAGCCCAGCGCAGCGGTGTGGAACGAGGAGATCAAGGCTGCGTGGACGCAGGCCTACGCGTCGGCCCAGGGCGTGCCCGCCAACTACGACATCGACGAGATCGAGGGTCGAATCCCCTCGGCGCTTCGCGGCACCGTATTTCGCAACGGCCCCGGCAACTTTGAGCGCGGCGGCCAGCGTTACGAGCACGTGCTGGACGGCGACGGGCTGCTCTGCAGGTGGAGCCTAGATGGCGCCACGGGCCGCGCCCGCTTCGCGTCCCGCTTCGTCCGCACGCCCGAGTACGCAGCCGAGGAGGCGGCGGACACGGTGCTGCACCGCAACACCTTTGGCACACAGCCGGCGAGCGGGCCGCTCGGCGAGCTGGAGAACGCCTTTGACCTGGTCCTCAAGAACCCGGCAAACACAAACGTGCAGAGCTGGGGCGGGAAGCTCCTCGCGCTGTGGGAGGCGGCGCTGCCCTGCCGCATCGACCCGGACACGCTCGAGTACGTCGGGCGCGAGACCTTCGACGGCCTGCCTCGCGACTGCGCCCCATCACGAGCGGGAGCGTGCCCTGAGCCTTCTCGGAGCGTGCCCTCTAGGCCTGCTCCCCTCTAGGCCTGCTCCCTTCTCGGAATCTTCTCGGAGCCTTCTTGGAGCCTTCTTGGAGCGTGCCCTCTAGGCCTGCTCCCCGACGGCGCCCTCACCGTGGCGAGCGGCATCGGGCCGGAGGTGCGTGGACGCGAGCAAGAACCTTCTTGGAGCCTTCTTGGAGCCTTCTTGGGGCCTCCCGTCAGGTGGACGCGAGCCTCGGCCTCGGCGTCGCCTTCACGGCCCATCCGCGCGAAGACAGGAAGCGAGGCCGCGTGGTCGGCTGGTCGTGGGCGGCGCCACTCGTCGGCTCGTCCCTCTCCGTCACCGTCCACGAGTGGGATGCGGCCAGCGGCGCTCTGCTCGCCTCGACGCCCACGGCGCTGCCCTCCGCCATCGCGCCGCACGACTTCGCGCTCACCGACTCGTGGCACGCAGACTCTGCAGCCTCCCGCCAGGAGAGCGAGGGAGGGCGCCTCTCCCTCTCCACGCCGCCCCCGCGGGAGGTAGGTACATCTTCGCGCTCAACGCGATGCAGCTCAACCTCTTCCCGTACGTGCTCGGCCTCACCGGCCCGGTCGGCGCGCTGCGAACCACCGGAGAGGGTGGGCCGCCCCGTGCGCAGCCCTCGCCTCCTCCCAGACGCGTCGTAGCGACGGGGCGTCGATGTGCCGGCAGGCGCAGTCCTCGTGCTCGTCCCTCGGCCGGGCGGCGCTGCGGCGGGGCGCGAGCCGCTCACGGTGCCGGCCGGGGCTAACTCTAACCCAAACCTACTTGCCGTACTTTGCCAACCCTCACCCTCACCCTCACCCTAACCCTCCCTCACCCTCACCCTCACCCTCACCCTCACCCTCACCCTCACCCTCACCCTAAACATGAACCCTCAGGTGCGGACCGAGGACCCGTACTTTGCCATTCACCACGCGGTGGCGTGCGAGGAGCCGCGGGGCGGCGGCGGCGGCAGCGACGGCGAGACGATCCGCCTCTACACGGCGGCCTGGCCGGTGGTTGGCGCGGGCCCTTTCCTCGGTGACTGGGGCGGCGACGTGCCTCTGTACGACGACGGCAAGATCAACCCGACGCTGCTGCTCGAGACGACGCTGCGCCTGCGCGAGGGCGGCGCTTCGCTCGAGCGCAGCTACGTCGCTGGCGGCGCTGGCAGTCCGCCACCACGCCGACTCTCGTTCGACGACGCTCTTCACAGCTGTGCGTGTGAGCAGGCGCGTGCATCGACCACCCGCACGTCGACCCTCGCTTCGAGGGGGACGGGCGCGTGAGGTACATCTTCATGTCGTGGTGCAACGCCGAGGGGGAGAGCGGCTCGCCGCCGGTCGGCTACTGCCGCTTCGACCGCCTCACCGGCAAGACGCAGGTCTGGAGGGCGCCGCCGCGCACGTTCTGCGAGGAGGTCGTCGTCATCCCGAGGCCGGCGGAGGCTGGAAGGGCGTCGGCCGGCGGCGAGGAGGCGGACGTGGCGGACGTGTGGCTTGCGGGCATGATGTATAGCGCCGACGTGGGCCGCTCCTGCCTCGCCATCCTCGACGGCGACGACCTCGAGAGTGGCCCGGTCTGCAGGCTCTGGCTCAGGCAGGCGGTGCCGCACGGGCTCCACGGCTGCTTCGTCGAGGAGCTCTACGGGATGGCAACATGACTCGCAGCCTGTTCGCTGTTCCCTTTCTCTCTCTGTGTAGTTCTCGTCGACAAAGTTGTGTTTAACCACGATGCGAGGATGACGCAAGTCCACACACACCAAACGACTTGGGAGAGATAGCTGCACGGATACTTTTTTCAAAATGGGAAGGAGATTCCCCCACGCCGTGGCCCACGCCGCGCATAGCCACGACCGGAGCTTGTGAGTTGTGATGTTGTGTGCAGCTTCGCCACGCCTGGAGCTGGGTTGCTCCGCTCCCTCCCAAACTGAAAAACATGAAACTTTCGCACGCCGAAATTCATTCGCGGCGGCGCTGCGATTGCACTAGATTCGAGGGACGGACGCATCTCTGCGAGACATCATGGCCATGTCCTCCGCTTGGACCAATTCGACAGCGCCGGGCCCGGACGCGGATGAGTCGTCCATGGCAAACATGTTTGTGCTCGTTGCTGCGATGTCCGGGCTCGTGTACACGGCCGCCGTCGACAAATCGGAGGGGGACGTCCCCGCCTTCCTCACCGGGATAATCTACTGCGCAGAGAGTTTGAGGTGGCGTCGATGTGGCTCAGTGGCAAGGCCGTGCCAGCCACACTTGCGATGAAGCAGGGCCACACCGTGGCCACGCCGATCTGGAATGGTGAGCCTATTATGTTCGGCACCAGCGTCACTCCGCTCACTTGTCCACTCGTACTTGTCCCTGCCCCTCACACGAGGCCACTGCCCCGCCCAGGAATGCGGCTGTACTTTTACGTCGCTGCAATCATCCTGGTCGCGCCCTCTCTCTACCTCATCTCGTATCTTTCTGGGTTCGCGCTCGCGGTCGCTGCCATCACGGGAGCCCTGGCGGTCAAGTCGGGTCTTAGCATCATCAGGGCGGACTTCGAGCTCGCAAAGGCGCGCCCCTCTCGGGAGGTCGACGTGTTTGCGCGGACTCTCAATACGGGCCAAAAGTTCTTTCTGGTGGTGATCATCCCCGCCTGGTTTGCGAGCTCCGCGGGCGGATTGGCGAGCGCGACCACCTGCCCGAATCTGCTGCTGACGATGGCCGCCTGGCTCCTCGTCGCATTCTTCAAAGTGGGCATCTGCATGAGCACGCTCCTCCACCGCTACGCCGCACATGCCGCCTTCAAGGTCGGGCCGGTGACCAACTTGGTCCTCGGAGTCCTCTCTTGCCTCGCCTATCAAGGCGGGCCTCTCTGGTGGGCTTCCAAGCATCGGGCCCATCACAAGTTTTGTGACACAACCAGCCGCGACCCGCACTCGCCAAAACTGGTAGGAATCGCCAACGCGTTTCTCTTTTTTCTCGCTGGTGACAGTCCGGACAGCACCCGCTCCATGCTCGGAGTCGACGAGGAGTTTGTGCCGAGGCACATGGACACCCCCGCGATGCGCGTCATCGACTCGCTCAACTTTGTGTTCCCGCTGATCGAGTTCTACGTGGCCACCCGCCTCTTCGGCCCGCCCGGCCTCTTGGTGGCATGGACCTCTTCGTGGATATGCTGCATCAGCACGCTGTGGTTCAACATCCGAAACCACCCGGACGGAGAGGCCGAGGCCAAGAAGCTCCGCCCAGAGCCAGAGCATCTGAAGTTCCGACGGATGTCAGACCGGAGCAAGGATTGCGACTCGACAGATGAGGCGGTCGACATTGGAGGCGCGCTTCTCTTTGTCTTTCTTGATGTGTGCGGGAGCATCTTCGTACCCCTCATCGGCGAGGGCACTCACGACCACCACCACTCGCATCCGGAGCTCGCGCAGCGGCCCGGCCTCGACTTCCCGCAGTACTTTGTCTATGGCCTGGAGATGCTTGGCCTCGCAAGGAGTGTGCGCACGTTGGACAAGCTAAGCGCCTCTTCCGACTCATTCCGTTCCTCTTCCTCCTCACAGCGATCCTCTAGCTCCGAGCGACCCTCCATGTCCGATACCAAGGCCTCCTCGAAGTCGGACTAAAGACTCTCGTTCAAGAGCACTTCGCCCGCACTGCGAAAGAGATGAATCAACGGCAATTTTGCCTGTACTGCGAAAGCGATTGGGCCTCGCCTGCACTGCGAAAGGAGAGAAAAGTGACATGCCGCCCACGCGTGTAAACAACGTACACTCGTGTCTCGTGCCGCAGAGGTGCCCGTGTGACTAGTCGTGTGAGGAGACAGTGTGCGCCCCCCCCCCCTTTCCCGTCTCAATTGCTCAAACAAAGTGTAAGTCACAGAGTTTGTGAAAAAGTGTATAGTCGTGAATATTTTAGTGCTCAGTGGCCAGTGGCCGCACAATACTGGCATGTGCGCATAATAAACAACGCAAAAGAAGCGATGCAGGGGGGAGTATATCACAATCGACCGCACACACCTCTCTCGTCTCACCAACCCTCCTCCTTCTCTGCTCGGCCGCGCCGGCGACTCGGCCTCTCTACGCCCCTCTGCTCGGCCTCGCCCCTCAGGTCCCGCACCTCCTGCGTGCTCCCGCGTGCGTCGCGAGCGAGGAGCGCCTTCGCAAAGGGAAGCTGGGCGCCGATGGCGAGGGCGGTCACGTTCGCTGCGCGCTGCGTCGCGCCGCTGCCGCGCAGTGCGAAGCCGACCCGCGAGAGGTACGCCTTCGCGTCGGGCGCGAAGTCGAAGAGGACGACGGCGTCGAGCGCGCGGTCGGCGCCACTCGCCTCGGCAAGCCCTCCTCTGCTCAGGTCGAGGCCGCGCGCAGACCGGCCCGTGGCGAGGAGGACGCGCGCCGGCGCCGCGCCGGTCCGCTCCGCAGCGGCAGTCTCCCACCAGTTGGGCGCCGGCTTGCGGAACGCCTTGAGCGCCGCGGCGCGCGCCTTTGGTGTCTGCGAGCCGTGGAAGAGGAGCACGGTCGGGTGCGCCTCCTCTCCCCTCCCCTCGGGTCCCCTCCCCTCGGGCGGGGACCGCAGGGCGCGCTCGAGGCGCTCGCACGAGGCGGCGGTGCTGCACAAGACGAGGGCGTGCCTCGAGCGGGCGAGCGCGCCGCGCAGCTCCGACAGCTTCGCGTCGAAGATGGAGGTGTCGCTCGCCACGGCGGACGAGCAGTCGACCAGCGTCACCGTGACGCCGGCGCGAGTCCGGTGGAGCCCCTTGCTGATCGAGGCGACCTGGACTCGTCACGAACTCACGGTTAGTCATGGGCGATTGGGTGTGAGCCGCCCCCTGCCGGTCGAGGCGACCAGGCTTGCGCCGAGGTCGCTGCGGATCTGCTCCTCGACGCCGTCGGGCAGCGCCGAAGTAAGCATCACCTTTGAGCAGCCGCCCTCGAGCTCGGCGAGGAGGCTGCCCCACAAGGCCAGCGGGAGCTCCTGCAGCAGCTCGTTGCGCGAGTCGTGCCACCGGGCCTGCGTCTCGTGCACCAGCCAGGAGGGAGCGCGCCCCTGGTAGAGGGAGCACGCCTCGTCGACGGCGACCGCGCGCAGCGAACGCACGTCGAAGGAGGGCGCCATAGGCTCGCGCGGGTGCAGGTGCGCGTACACCCGGCCCATCGTGCCGACGAGCAGGTCGAGGCCGCCCGCCAGCCTCTCGCACTGCGTGCGCCACGAGTGGCCTCCCGTCGCGACCGAGGCGCGGATGGAGCGGCGGGCGACCTCGCGAGCGAGGTCGAGGATCTGCTGGGCGAGGTCGTTGGTCGGCACGATGATCAGGGCGCGCACCTCCCCCGGGCCCGTCCTCCCGAACTCCTCCTCCCAATCCCACAGCTTTTGCACCAGCGGGGCGACTAGAGCGAGCGTCTTGCCCGCGCCGTGGTCGTCGGCCAGCAGGACGTTCTCGCCCGCGGCAATCGGAGCAAAGGAGTTTGACTGCGCGACAGAGGGCCGATCGTAGCCAAGCCGCGCCAGGTTGTCGACGAGACGTTCCGACGCGCCGAGCGCGGCCCACTCGCGCATCCGCATGTTGTGCGGGTGGAAGTGCTCGTGGATGTGGCCGGCCGCCGTGGCCGTCCATCGCGCGCGGCGCTGGCGCGGCTCCGGCTGCGACTCGTGCTGGCCCTCGAGCCACGCGTCCAGCTCAGACCAGCCCTCCTTCTCCTGCTCACCCTCGAGCCACGCGTCCAGCTCAGACCAGCTCAGCTCCTGCTCCTGCTCCTCGACTGTATCCCGAGGTGTGAGCGAGCTGTGTACTGAGGAGGGATTCGCGGTGCTCTTTGTCACAGCGCGCAGAGGCGTGGTGTGCGGCCTCCTCAGAGAATGGAGTCCGCCGGCGTGTAGGCAGAGCGCGCCCACCCACACGCTGCCGAAGGCCATTAACTCGGCCCGCTTGCTGAGAATTCTCACGCCGCTATGAAGACACGCATAAAGTTTTCTTTTGAGCGAGCCTTCGATGTAGGAAACGGAAACAAACAAAGCAAGGCGGACATGGCATATCGCTCTCGGTCCCACAGACATCCCGCACACCCGCCGCCCCCGCGCGCGCCCCGCCGCGGCCGGGAGAAAGGGGAGTGACACTTTGGGATTGAAAGCCGAGTATCTCGCACTCCATGTGCTGAGGGAGGGTGTAGAGGATGTAGAGTGTAGAGCGCTGTAGAGCTGTAGAGATGTAGAGCGCTCTGGAGCGCTGTAGAGCTGTAGAGCTCTACATCAGGCGCGTGACGATGCGCCTGCGTTGTATAGAGCGATGTAGAGGCTCTCTACAACGTGAAATCTCTACAACAAACTCTACAGCAACGAGGAGACGCCCCAAAGTCACGCAAGCCGAGGGCCGATAAGGGGGTGCCGAGAGGCCCGCGAAGCCCTCAAAGCACAAAGCTCAAAGGCACAAAGGCCTACCAGATCGGGCACCTCAGCCTACTGCGGTTTCGGCACGGGCGCGAGAGCACTTGGAGCACTTAAAGTGCAGTCGGCAGCCTCACATCCAGGGCCGGGGAGCTAAGAAGCGCACCCAGCGGGCCGGATGATCGGGATCGGGTTACGGGCAAGAGAGCCCTAGCCCTGGGGGGTGCGCGTTCGCAGGGAAAGGGCCATAAAGTAAACACGGTTCTCCGAGGGTTGGTTCCGTGTACCGGGTCTCCCCTTAACTGCAGAACGCCCCCTCTACTCGGAGCTAACGATCACACAACACTGTACTCCACGCACGTACCCAGATACGCCTCATGTGCGCCCGCCCGACTCCGGTCCCCGAGTCCCTTCTTCCTCCCGCCGGGGCGGGCCCTCGGCTCGTCCCGGTCCCTTGCTCGCCTTCCGGGCGTTACCAGACTGCCTCTGCGGTCGTTTCTGATGTCTCTTCCTCGGCTGTGGCCTCGACTCCGCTTCACCCTCGACTGGTACCGCCGCCTCCGAAAGCGTAGACGGCCCGGCGAGAGGCAAGTGTCACAACGGACCCTCGACGCGGTGCGCGAGGCGCAGGGATCGGGGTCGAGCCGTGGAACACGGCCGAGCACGACAAGGCCGTTCACAATCCAGCGCCCGAAGACGGGACGACGAACTCGATGGAGAGCGAGCCGCCGGAGAGCGAGACGTGCGACGACGAGGGGGACGACGAGAGAGACAAGAGCGCCTCGGCGGACGACGAGATGGCATTTATCGACGATGCGTTCTTCGAGCTTCCCGACGTGGCAACGGAGGAAGAGGCGGAGGGCGGGGGGAGCCAGAGTCAGTACAGCCAGCAGAGCCTGGAGGCCGAGAGCGAGGGGAGCCAGAACAGCCAGGGCAGCCGTAACACTGCGAGAAGCGACGAGGACGTCACAACCGCCGCGCGGCACAACAGTTCATGGACCGACTGAGGTTCGAGCTGCTTCTCGGACACCGCGGGGGTCTAACCAGGGACCCCCCCACCGGCCAAGCCGGCGGCGACGACGGCACGGGGAGCGACGACGAAGAGATGCCCGACCGCAAAACAGAGCCAGGACCGAGCGAGCGGCTATCCGAAGAGGGGCCTCCAGAATGACGATAGCCAAACAAATGACGACTTTACAGTGATGGACGTAGAGGAAGAGCAGCCAGAGGAAGAGGCACCCCGGCCGCCGAGGAGAGAGCGGTTCGAGCATGAACGTAGCGATTCGATGAGCCAGGGAGAGGGGACGAGCCAGCAGCATGATGAGGACGAGAGGTCGGTGCCGAAAGCCCAGCGACAGCACCAACGCAAGCGGAGGCAGGAATCGCCCCGGAAGCCACCCGTCAAGTTCAGACGCTAACCGAGAGAATGGTGACATGAAAAGGGGGGACTCCGAACGGCCGAGCATGCCCTCGCATGCCGGACAACTAGGTAGGTCACAGACCTCCCCCCTCCCGACGAACGTGTGTCGTGGATGATAACGTGTTCATTCATAACGCTGCTTGTAACCACGAACGGTGCGAGGACGCAAGTCCACACCAAACTCGGCCATTCCAACGGCCAGGCCGCTCGCTTAAGGCTGATTGGCTAGACGAGCGGCCTACCTCCAATGGGGCAGTCCGGGAACGCGTGGAACCTGCCCGCCTCGGTGGGAGGTGGTTTGGCGCCGACGGACCGGCCTCTCCACCACCCTCGCCCAGGGATCTACAATGCTGTCTTAACCCCTAAACGGCTGTACCGAAACGGGGTGCCCGCGGAAGGGCGATATCACGGCGGCCTAACTGTGCCTCCGTGCGCTCGCCACATACCCCCTGCTGCCCGAGGGTCGTGTTAGCACTTTATTGGGCACATACAGAGGCGGTGGGAAGCCACCACGTTCCCTTTAAATTTTCCGCCACAGAGCTCCGGAGCGCGCTCTGCACGAGCTCCTGGAGGACGCGGTTTCGTCTTTCGATCCCAGACGGTCGTCGCACGTCGGCGCCCCATTGAGGTCCGCCGTCATAGGTGTAGCACGCTACTAGACACACTGCCTCCAAGTTGAGCGGTGGAAAATTGTGACGAAGCCACGCACCGAAGCGCCGTCCCCGTCCCTCTGGCAATCTGCCACCGACAGCAACACACGCCTTTGATCACCGGCTGCTTGCGCTCCGCATACTCTCCAGAAGCTGTTGGTTGTGTGGCTGGTGCTACTTCTATCAGCCTTCCTCATGCACAATGTTACCGTTGAGCTACGAGGCTGCAACCCGTCGTCATTTGAGTTTGCTGCCAGCCACACACAGCGCGTTCCTGATGCACGAATGGGGTTGGACAGGTGTGAACAACACCTCGTGGGGGCGGCACCGCAGGCGTCCATTGAGGGGTCCAGGTGATAGCCCTGGGCGGGCAATCCATACGCCTAGTTGGACTTCAGATCGCCCGATCGCGTCCCGGTGAACTGACGTCGGATTTGTGACGCCGCCGCACCGCGCCGCGGCCGGGGGCCCTCCGGAGGCTGAGGATGGCCGTGGCGGACCGAGACGAGCTCTGGGAGGTAAAGTGTCAGCGTATATATTGTAGAGGCTGACCATGTGCACAATATCTCTCACTCTAGCTAAGCCAGGGGAGGCTATTCTGGGCGTCCACACGGCTTGCACAGGTGACCCTCGCGACAAAGCGAGCGCGTCCAGCAGAGCGACTGAAGAATGGAGGACAGAGTCACAAATCCCGCTTGTTGTGCATGTTTTGAGGTCGGACAGTGCTGCTGTCTTCTCCACGCAGCAGCCGACGCCACCAGGCCTCGGTAGCTGAGCAGCAGGAGCCTCCTCGCTGCTGGCAGAGTTGCGCCTCTGTTTGCCGCCGCTAAGAGATCGTTGTTGCGGGAATCCAGGGAATCTAAAGGAATCTAGAATCTGTGGGTCCGAGATTCGATCTGGGACCTGAGCCGCTCGGGACCAGCTGCACATGACCCGGGGCCACTGCCATGTCGCAGACGACTGCTGGATCGGTCGTCGGGCAGACACGGCCGAGCGGGCCGCAGCAGAACGATCAACGATGCCGCCGTGGCCAAGGCGGCGCGTGCTGCGATCGCCGATGACGAGAACCTCGACGACGCCGGCAAGCAGGCGCGCTGCGGCGCGCCGCCGGCAGAGTCCCGCTCCAGCGGCTCCCGCTCTCTGGGCTCGCCGCGAACCACACGGTGCACCGATGCGCATATCGAGGAGGGCTCGGTCGTCTCACTGCCTGCTCACTGCAGCAGCGGATCGACCACGGGCGCGTCCCGACCGCGGCGCAATATGGGCCCTCGGCGAGGCAGGTGCGGATCCCGGAGAAGTGGCATCTCCGCATCAACGACACCCGCTTCTTCCTCCTCGACGCAAACTCGGATCTGGCCAGGCTGAGGCACACAACGTACAACGTGCTCGACGTCCAGAGTGGCACCTCGATCGCCGACCTCAAGGGAGGGATGGGAGGACGCTTGCGGCGGTCCTATCCCCAGCTCGCAGTGCCAACTCTTATTCACTGTGTGCCGGTGTGTGTGCCAGTCCGCGCCAGTCTGCGCCCTGTTTTTGTGTGAAGAAGTCACGTCAAACAATTAATCGTGGAGACCAAAGGCAACAAAGAATGAAAGGTGCGACCTGATTTCTTCTTTGATGTGTCGCCCCGGGCGCAGGCGCGCGGTGAACCTATGTGGTGAGTGCACCGATATAGTCCTCCTGCGATGCTCCCGCTGACTCTCCTAGCCTTGGCCTACTCGCTGGCGGGCCCTCGTCGGTACGACGGGCGCGGGCGGCGAGGTCTCAGTCGGCAGGCCCTCGTCTTGTGCGCACCTCGGCCTCTGACGCCACGGCAGCTCAATGGCCGCATCGCAAACGCATCGACGGTGGACGGCATTCTGCAGCTGCACGCTGCGCACGGTGACGCGCTCGATGACATCAACCTCTCCACGTGCTGGTCGAGGCTTGGCCGGATCGCCAAGAACGCCGACCGGCGGCGGCTGCTGCAGGACCCCGCGCTCCTCGCGCCGCTGGCCAGGCAGACGGCGGCGGCGCTCGACGACTGGGGTCCCTGGGGCGTCTCTGCGACGGCGCACGCTGCCGCCAAGCTCAGACTCGAGGGCGGACCCTACGAGGCGCTCTGGTCCAAACTCGGCACCGCCGCGGCCGCCAGTGCCCGCGACTTCAACTGCCAGGGCCTTGCCAACACGGCGTGGGCGTTCGCGACGGCGGGGCGGCCGGAGCCGGCGCTCTTTGACCGCCTCGCCGCCGCCTCCGAGCCGAGGCTGTCCGACTTCCCCTCCTTTGCGCTCGGGCAGCTGCTCTGGGCCTTTGCTGCGGCGGGCGCCGAGGCGGCCTCGCTCTTTGACGCGAGTGCGGCGGAGCTGTCTGCCGGGCGGCTGAAGGAGCTCTCCCCGCAGGGCGTCTCGATGGTGGCGTGGGCGTTTGCGACGGCCGGGCGGCCTGCGCCGGCCCTCTTCGAGGCGATCGCCGACGAGGCGGCGCCGCGGCTCGCCGAGTTTGCGCCGCAGGGCCTCGCCAACCTGGCGTGGGCCTTTGCAACTTCGGGAGCGAGAGGGAGCGCGCAGCGGCGCCTGTTTGCCGCTCTCGCCGCCGAGTCGCCGTCGCGCCTCGCGACCTTCAAGACGCGCGAGCTCGCCAACCTCGCTTGGGCGTGCGCAAAGATAGGCCTCGCGCCGCGCGCGCTCTTCGAGGCGCTCGGCGAGGAGGTCGCGCGGCGCGCGTCCGCGTTCAGCGTGCCCGACATGTCGATGACGGCGTGGGCCTTCGCCTCCGCCGGCCACGCGGCGCCCGCGATGTTTGACGCGCTGGCCGAGGCGGCGACGCCCCGCGCGCGCGAGTGCTCGGGTCAGGCCATCGCCAACCTCGCTTGGGCGTACGCGACCGCGCGGCACGCGTCGCCCTCGCTCTACTCTGCCCTCGCGTCCATGGCCGCCTCCCGCGCGCGCGACCTGTCTCCGCAGGCCGTCTCCAACATCGCGTGGTCCTTCGCCACCGCGAGCCACCCCCTGGCAGAGACGCACCTCCTCCTCGACGCGCTCGGCGCCGCGGCGCAGAGGCGGCTGGGCCGCTTCAAGCCGCAGGAACTCGCCAACCTATGCTGGGCGTTTGCGCGTGTGCGGCTGCCGTCGCCGTCCCTCCTGGACGCGCTCGCCGAGGAGGCGGCGCGGCGGCTGGATGCCTTTAGTGGACAGGGCGTCGCCACCCTCGCGTGGTCGTACGCGACGCTGCAGCACGCGCAGCCCGACCTCTTCGACGCGATCGCGGCCGAGGCGGCGCCGCGGCTGCGCCGCTTTTCGCCACAAGCCATCTCGACCATCGCGTGGGCGTTTGCGACGGCCGGGCGGCCTGCGCCGGCCCTCTTCGAGGCGATCGCCGACGAGGCGGCGCCGCGGCTCGCCGAGTTTGCGCCGCAGGGCCTCGCCAACCTCGCGTGGGCCTTTGCGACGGTCGGCGAGCCCTCGCGCTCCACCAGCGGAGGGGAGGCGGAGCTGTTTGGTCTCGAGTTTGGGCGTCGGTGTGATGCCGCCGCGGACCTCTTCCGGCGCGAGGAGCTGACGCAGCTCCACGTGTGGTGCTTGTGGCATTCGCTCGAGTGCGGCCAAACAGAGGGCATGCCGAGCGAGGGCTTGCGCAGGCGGTGCCACGCCGAGTTCACGGCGCAGCAGGGCCGCCCCTCGCGCCTGCAGAGGCACGTCGGCGCCGCGCTCTTCCGCCTCGTCGGCTCTCGCCCGCGCGAGGAGGTGACCATCCCCGAGGGGTACAGCCTCGACTACCTCGTCGAGTGGCGCCGCGCCGCACCGCCGCACACGACCCTGACGGCGCACCACGTCGCAGTGACGCGTCCACGGCACGCACGCTGTAGGCGGGGCGCTCGCGTGGCGGTCGAGGTGGACGGGCCATCGCACTACGCGGCCGCGAGCGCGACGGCGAGTGCGGCGCAGCACCGTGCGCT